ATTTGATTGTGATTTAGGTTACTTTTCTATCGTATCGCAATTTGTGAAATGTACCTGCATTACATGTAAATGTAGCATTTCATCTTTCACACTGTTTTGCAAAACAGATGCAAAAGTTATCAACGCCCATTTATTTGGTAACTTGTGTGTAGAGTACAATTTGTGAACTTAGTATACTACCTGTAATTATGGATCTCTAGCCCCTTATGTTGTCTACTTGCAATAATTGTGTTATCGAGGATTCTGAACTCAAACTAATTACCTCCTTTAAAAAAAGGTAAACTAATTTATGTGAGACAACTGTCTAGATATTTTCCTATTACATTGTACATTTACACTAAAGATAATACTGGTATTTTAAAGTACAGTTTTAAAATAATCGATATCAGGCGATTGTTTGTTAAGCTTCCTTTATTAATAATTCTACTTAGTAACCAAGTACAGAATTTTGAATCCAGTTTAAAGTAGGACGTAATGTAGGGAAACCTGACCATAGTTTAATAGCTGTCTGAGCCAACTATTGGTTTTGTTTCAATAAAACAGCTTTTCATATTTATTAATCTAGGTAGACAATTGTTGTCAATGTGGTCAAGAATCTGAACACATCTTAGTTCATACCCCCCACTTACACAAACACTTACTGTCTTGATTTGAATTCACAAGTTGCGTCTTCATATCCTTGTGTTATGAAATTACTTCACAACCACAATAATTTATGTTAATTTTAGATCTGTACTCATTATTGTGTCCAAAAATTATTTTAACACTGTTATTTATTTTTTTAAACAGGAAAAAATTAAAGCATTGCGCGCGAAGCATTCTGGTCAGTATAATAATATAGCTTGTATTCGTACAAATGCGATGAAGTTTTTGCCGAACTTTTTTCATAAAGTAAGTTTTATTACTTATATGTAACACATGTATCTAGCACCATAGTTATGAACACTAATATTGTAAGGTTAGTGTCAATTTAATACTAATTGTCAACTGAATTACTCGCTGACTTCGAGTTGTTTTCTGTAAACTTACTAATTATCACTCAAACAATCCATAGTTTTAATTCACTTGGTATTGTTTTACTTGAATCTTCCCATTGATGTTTTAGGACTGAAATTGATCAGTCTCTTATTGGCATATGTGCATACTGTGCGTATGCCTCGATATCGCCTTAATTTACAAGCATTATAAGAAAAGATGGATAGTGGCTAGCAGTGGAATCCAGGACGCGCGTTTCGTCCTGTTTGGGGCTCGTCAGCTGAATGTACCTGCATCTCAGAGTTGATGTTCACTCTGGACCCTATTGCACAAGCAAGTGGCTATCAGGACTCAGTAGCTAAGTGGATAATGCGATGGCGTTTGAAGCGAACGGTACTGAGTTCGAGTCCCAGAGTGAACATCAACTCTGAGATGCAGGTGCATCCAGCTGGCGAGTCCCAAACAGGACGAAACGCGCGTTCTGGATTCCACTGCTAGCCACTATCCATCTTTGCTTATAATCCATAATTTTGTTAAAAATACAAAGTAACTTGTGTCAAGCATCACACCTTCCACTGTTTAACCGTTTCGTTCCGAAATTCACATAACGTACTTATTTTCAACTCATGTGCAGAAACAACCATTCAGGTTTAAAATTAATTAATCGTGTTGTGTTTCACCATTTCTCGAGTATACTGAATACTGAAATTCAAGTCACATTTATTTTCCTAAAGGGTTAGATCAGACAAACTGAAACAGTTGAAACAGATTTCAAACCGACAACCCTGTGATTCGATGCTAAGTTTTTAAGCTGTTAAGATACTGGTATATAATATGACATCTGTTTTACTCTCCACGTCTTCACATTTGTTTGTTGTAATTGATTAATACATTAGTATGTCACTTTTTTTGTTTTTAAATACAGGAACAATTACATAAAATATTCTTTCTTTATCCAGACCCTCATTTTAAACGTGTTAAGCATAAATGGCGCATTATTTCTCCTACTTTATTGGATATATACGCTTATCTGTTGACTCCTGGGGGAAAAATATATTCGACCACTGATGTACCTGATCTTGGTAAATGGATTGTGGATTGTTTATGTGCACACCCACTATTCCGTCCAGTTTGTCATGTTCATCTCAGTCCAGCAGTTGAGAAAATACAAGGTGCCAATGAACTACTAAAGATATCTACTTATCCGGATATATTTGAAGAAAATTCTCATTTTGTCAAAGATTCCGAATCCTTCCAGATACTTAAAGAATCAGACCCGGTATTGAAATTATTGGAACAAGGTTGTACAGAAGAAGCTCACAAAGCCTGTAGAGAAGGTCGGGAAACATTTCTAATTGTATACGAACGTATCTCTAACCCTTAAGTGTATATAAATGACCGTTCTTCTTACTCTAATAAAGTATATCATTAGCAGACAGTTGTAATCATTGTTGAACAACAGAAGTCCTCAATTAATTTTTTGATTTCGGTAGGCGAGGGTTTCATCAAAAATATCATTGATACAAACTGTGTGCCCATTGTTTAAAACAGTCGGCATTCGTAAGTATGTGTATAATACCATCCACTAAGTGTTAACAACTAAGACTGATGTTGAATAATTCAAAGTGAATCGGAATGTTTTTGTCATTTACTGCCACTAATGAATTTTGACCAAGAATAAGCCGGATATTCTGTATGCTGACGAGCCAGTTACATGATTGAGCAATGACCTTAGTGGTAGCCCAGATGCACTGTGTACGTATTTTGTGCAACTTGTCTAGGACGTTGCGACCCAATCCTTTTGGCACGGTCAGAGACGTAATATAAATGGTCTTCATAATCTTTCTCCTCACATTGCGCTACTTAGATAACGGCATATGACTAGGTTGAATACCTAGATGACAAGGTGTGAGTGAGAAGCATCTGTAACGATGTTTTGTTGAGAAAGCAATTCGAAGTGGCTATATGGAGTCTAGTGTCGGGGACTAAAGGAATATCTTTCTGCGGAGACCCATTTGCGCTCCAGTCGTATAGTGAGTGAGGATGACAGACTAGAACAAACCAGAACAGCCACATCTGACTTCTCCATTCCTAGTTGTGATGCAGTTCGTTATATTGTGTGTATTCTTATGCACATATCCACCCAATAACTCTAACTGACCGTATCGACCGGGAACGCGTTTGCTTTAAATAAATCATGTCCAATATGACTTCATGCCCTGACATGTTTAAGTGTCGTGTTTCAACTCATGCCCATCAATAACAAGAATTCAGTGTTCAGAGGTGGGTCGTTGTGGTGTTTGAATGAATTAATGATTATTTTGTACTTGTTGAATGCTCGGTTTCGAATTCTAAATACAACACATTCGTTTGTGGTTATCTAGTGGTTCTTGATCCTATTACGTTATTGCTGGGATTCCTAGTTCATACGATAATTCGAATACTTATGAACATTATAGTCGTGTATCGGTATTCGAGTCCCTTCGGCCCAATTTACCATAAAAGTAGTAGGAAAGATGCTTAGCAGAAGCTCATAAGACCGTCTTCTTCATTTAGTCATTCTGCTTAAAAATAGTTGTGGAGGTGCTCACGATTTCCATGAGCCGCACCTGACCACCAGGAAACATGCTACATAAGGTCTACAAACGATTGTTAGTACAAACCATATCTTTATTTCTGGATAATGTTCCTTTAACCCTTTTTAAGCTACAATCAGCGTAGACTGGAACTTAAAGTGGACGACCCAACACTACAGACGAAAAATCTCTATAAATCCTGTTTCGATATGGATGAACAAACATCGGTGGTTTTGACACTTAAACTTTCTTGATAATGCCTTCATAGTAAATGTTTCACTAGTAAATTTGTAGCGTGTTTTTGAGTTAACTGTATTCTCAAAACTGTTCTTAAGGGAACCAATGAACTCTTTTCTTGTAATCTGCTTCTGGTCTGTTGGATAGGTCTTTAATTGTGGAAATGTATCTTTTTTGGTTTCCCTCTGAAACAGATTGGTGAAAGAAATAATATATTATCACTTGGAGTGATTTCAGACTAACAATCAAAGTAATTATTCTCCGTATTTTGGGTACTTTAGAAAGCCAACTTTCTCAGACTTGGGGATTCTCGAGTCGACACTTCGTAGGTGAATCATATATCTATTAGGATCGAAAAATTTACGAAAGACACGATTGATGTGGTTCATGACTCTCCGATTGTACAAAATTACGGGGCTTATAAGTTTAGAGCTTCCAAGAAGGCTTAGGAGGGAGTAACTGTATACCTAATAACATACTGGAAGAGATCTCCAAGAACGGAAGAGCACATAGTGCAAGAGTTGTTTCCTGGTGAGGTCTATAATAATCTCTCCATCGTAGCACTCACGCGATTTATTCTGGTCAGACAAAATATACTAACCACTTCAGATATCCTGTACATTTACATTTGACCTAACCAAGCATTCAGACGTCTTGTTATACATACGATGAGTCACGTTATTAAGGATGAATTAACTAGTGTAGTAATTTCATGCTGTGGCTCCTCGTTTTTTATTTGCATGAGTATTTACTTATTGCTGAGTGCATAAAATAAGCATATCTTCATCGCATCTCGTATTTTTCTATTTTGTCTTGATATTTTAACAACGTGAGTTGGCAACGGCTGACTAATAAATTTAATATAGGACACGTGAATGGTAAACTTGAGTTAGACACAGGCTCCGAATGTCTTAATTAAACATTAAAAAGAGTTTCGAATGGTTCCGGAGTCAGGTGGCTTCATATACAAGATTGAAACATCAAGAAAACATGATTTGCTGACTGCAGAATGCCAGTGTAGAGAGGTATTTGGAGTATTACACATAGTGATGCCCACGTTCTCTCCAAACTCAAAGATATACAGACCTATACAAAAAATTGAGGTGAAATACGTTGAACACTTTTATCAAATGAACTTCATCACGGTAAAGAAATAATGGGATATAGCTTTTTACAAATAATATAAAAATGCTGATTGACTGAATTGTCCTTACATAAGTTTATGAAAGAGCGCGAAGTTCGTCATTGGCCTTGACCTTCTGGCTTATTCAAGTTTGTTTTTTTTTCTTGTGGTAGTGGTTCACCTTTCCAATTGTTTGGAAGATTTTCCATACTTTTGGGGGCCACCTCTTTTAAAAGCATTTCCTGTGTCATATTGGATGAAAAGTCGGTTTAAATCTCCCTTATCTGCTGACAACCCAATCTACCGACTTTGGAGAAACTGCAGTCGAAAATTTTAGGGAAATGCTCGAAAAACCCCAAGATTTTCCATGGTCTAAGGCATTGTGCAAAATGAGGCGAAATTCCTGAAAAATCCTTAAAACGCTTGGGGGACTTATGGGTTTTCCCAATATATTTATTGGTTAACTGATTCCAATCAATTGTTTGGGATTCAAAGCAAAATTGGACTTCCATAATGTTATAAACTGCAAGTACTATTATAGGTCGATTGACCTCCTATCCTTAGTACCAAAGACTGAAAATTCCCCTAGACTCTGTGAAGTGCGAATTTCCGTATGACGCTGCCGTAACTTCTAAAATTTCCTCAAAATTCAGAAATCGGGAAATCTTACTTCAAGTTATTGATTAAAAAATTGATTAATTTTCTCCAAGCGGTGTTTCGTAATACTGTTTTCTCAGTGTCAGTAGAATATTTCCTAATTATTGAGATTTTCAACCTAGTTAATTCTCTAAAGCTGTGTGTGCACACATATGCTGCAAATTGGCTATATGTTTAGATAAATATTCTAAGAGATGCAGTCTTTTTCACTGTCACTAACGTCAGTATGAAAGTTCATTCACTGTACCGTATTGTTCATCGTAAATTATTTGTTCCTTAGTGGTTTTCAGTTAGTAAAAACATCTCTACTATAAAGCTTTCTCTAGTGTATCTATATAAACTGCTAAGCAATGATAAAACTTCGGGGGTTCCCTTAGTTATATCTCCATTATTTGTCTTTTCACAACTTACTGCAGTTTCTCATACTCTTGTATTTCAGTGTTATGCAACTAAAAGTCATCATTTGACAATGAGGTTTTGCTTTCTTAGACTATCTCCTCAATGGTGTCTAACCTAGCGCCCATTACCTTGGCAAAGTCACTCTGTTTTACCTGTATAAATCAGTCATATAGTACCATTTATTTATTTATTTAAACACAAGCATTGGTACAAGGAGGTACCAAACGCATATGTACCACGCAAATCATTCGATTTGTTTGAGGGATGGAATATTGTCCGGGTGCTCAAACTAAAGCAGGTGGTTTACTTATGAGGTCACTCCTCGAGCCTTTAACCTAGAGGTTTAATCCACAGGGCAGTGGATTGGCGCAAGTAGATACAGTCCCATGTTATCCGTTGACCAACCGTAGTTCCATACCCCATTTGTTCCCTCAGGATCCTGGAGCCCATATGCACTGTTAGTTTGGAATCAGAGTTTTCCAACTTCCCTAGATGATTCCTTCATATCCACCAACCCGGTTAAAGCGTTGGCCATTCGCTTTTTCATCCTCTCAATTTCGTAAACAATTTCTCCACCGCTAAAAGGAGGTGAGTAGGACTTTCATAAGAGTGGCCGGATACGCGTGACCCCGTGAAAGCATTTCAGAAGTGAGGGCTGATTTTCTCCACCCTCGGTCTTAACAGGGCATCTGGGGGCTAAAAGTTCAAGGTTACGTAGATCGTTAATCAATCAGTAGTATGTAACTCATTTTTCAGTCGAAGATTCATAAAAGTCCCTACGAGCTAAAAGCTGTAGTTACGAGATCTAGTTTGAATACTTTAAAATAGATACCTACAAATAGTTACTTTATAGTTGGAGTTATTAGAAAGTGTATAGAACTCAAGAGATAATTATGATATATATTGCAAAAAGGGAGTACCACAATGTAAACAAGCCTAATATTTATCAGCATCCATGACTGAGTTTTATAGTTCTGCGAACCATAATTAACGCCAGATATGTACACTTTAATACTACTGCTTGATTTCAATATAAAATTATCATATATTTCAGGAACCTCTTCTTTAGTATCTTAGCATCAAGTTAGGCATGCCGTAACTTGGCAAATCTGAACTATAAAAGCGGGTTCAAATAACTCCCCAAACATCGATGACGAAATCTTGATTCATTCAGTTGTTCTCAGAACAGCAAGTATCAATTAATGACTCATAATGTTAGTACTAGGATTCAGAGTTTGAGTTGCAGCTTTCCTCACGAACTAATATCAGCCTTGATACACATGGCACAAAGCGTTCTTAATCAATTGTTGAAATTTCGAGTTGTCACCTAGCATTGCTCAAGATTGTTCGTAAATTATAATGTGAACCTTAAGCTATTTTCCGAGTAAAAATATTCGTAATACAGCCAGTGGGCGAAAATTTCTCTGGTAGACTGTTTTGCCACCCGAAAATTACATTCTATCTTGCTATATGCACTGTGATTTGCATTTTCATGTGGCTCACCCTTACAGTTCAGCTTTATCAGCAACCTTGTTACTAAAAGTTTTTCTTTGTTAAGCTGTTCTGAACGACTACGATAGTCGAAAGGAACTGTATTTGATTAGAAATCGGTAGAATAATGTAAAAATTCTAGGTCGACTACATCAATGTTGGGAGATTCTTGACTGAGCACCTATGAACAGTGATGTACGTTAGAACTAACAATGTCAGCAAGGACTGTGCAAACTTAATTTGAAATACTTAAAACTTCAGGTGGAGTTGTAACTAAAATGATTATATACTAAATTATGATGAAGTTAAAAATCCCTAAGAATAACAAAAAGAAAATTCGTTGTTATCGTGCTTCCCTGCTGGTGATTAATTTAAATTCACATCTACAAAGTTTAAGTAGACATGCAACATAGTTCAATTTCCTTTACGGTTTTAGTTAAATGTTCTGAAACCTAGAACTTCTGTAAATCCCTCTAAATTTTTGCATTACATTACTAGTAGTGGTCGAGCGTTTGACTGCTTTTTGTTGTGCAGAATTTTGGATTTTATTATTCCTGTAGGTACCTGTTGATCTAGTTTTCATTTTTCCAAAGCAAATAAATGTTTCTCATAGTGATTATTTCCTTCTCCAGACTTCTGTTCCATAGTAGAAAAAACATTTTCAACATATACATTTAACCAATCGCTAATCTTATGACTCTCATCGAAATGGGTCTCATTAATAGTGTTAATAAATCAGATGACCTCCAATGTTTGTTCGACGAATACAAGACGAGAATTAAAGCAAAATCTCATCTACCTTCTAATCCACTTAAGCCTTTGATCCAGTTTCTACAATCAGTCGGTGAATCCATATTCGACAAACGAAAACCTATATGCTTTAGTGCTAGTCTTTTAGATCATGATTTCAAAGAGATTCGTCAAGGCCTGATAACAGTAAGAGTTTACGATATTAAGTTTCAATATGTCCATAATAACCAAACTGTTGTTCTACTTTGGCCACTCCACGGTTTACGATGGTATGGAAGGAATAAATCCTTATTTTTATTTCAGTCTGGCAGTCGATGCAAGTTAGGTAAGTTTCGTTTAACTTCATACCATCCTACTATGTTTTGTTTATAACAAATCGCATATATTGTAAATCTCATGAAAGGATATGTTGAATAACTATTTATCTACAAAGACGGCATTTGATACTATAGAGAACTGTTTCAATTTTATGGACCTCGGGACAATATATAAGAACCAGTTTGCTAAAAATTGTTGTGGTAAGAAGAAATAGGCGGGTTTGATACTAAACTGATATAGAATAGTAAACTCTGTGTTCAATACTTAACGGTAGATGGAAGTGCATATGCTTGATTGCCATCAGTTTATAGGATTTTAGTGCTGATCTCTAATCAGGTTAGTTCTGTTTCTCAAAATTTGGACATGAAAGCAAAAGTTTAATAGATTCATTAGTGTTGTCTTTTGGTTCAATAAATATAATGGGCTTTTTTATTCTTCAGCACATGTTAAATATAAATCTATGGCGATTACTATTCAATACGAGTGGCCAGATATTTAAAACCTTTTACTTTATGCTTGGTCACAAATGAATATCAGAAAGAGCCATACAACCGATTATTTTAAAGCCTATACGTTTTATAAATGTCACAACTTACTGTTTTGGGTAGTTTCTAAGCTCAGTTTCGTTTATGTGTTTAGTATATCAAGTGGTATTTTCTACTATGAACTACGGTTTTAAATCTAGACATTTTTTATTATGACTTTCAATCAGATCTGCTATTTCGGTTAATTCCATCTGATTAAAAATTAAATAAACAAATGCATTTATAATTCATGTGCAGGTTTGAATATTGATAAGTTATCCATTCATATGGTATAATGATGAAAAATAATACTCATCTCTTGAGAACAAGAAGTTTAGCTTAAAATTTGAAGTGGGAATCCTGTGATCAATTAAATACTGTTACTACTGTACCCTAACCTCTAGCCACAGTTCTTTGCATTATCCTACCTCCTTGATCAATTATTTTCACTTAAAAAATGATGAAACACAAACTCAACATCTAACCATTTCCTATTATGTGTAAGTGGAATTTCGTCTATCTGGTTTGTTGATTAACACTTACTATTTTTTATGTGTGAGATCCTGACTAATATCTAACTATCGTAAGATTTTTTCATGAACTCTTGTTTATTTTGATTTGCAGGTAAGTTTTTATCGCTGCTTTAAGAGAAAGCTCTGGTTTGCTAAACGAATAACCTTTAATTTGAGCATCAGAATAATTGATTAAAGGCCAATTATTGAAAATGGGTGATTTTATTTCTTTTTAATTTTCATGCTTTCAATATGAGTGTACACTTATCTCTTAATTTATAGTCTGCAGTATGTCGATTAAACCAACATGACTAAGAGCAACTAGTAATGTATTAAGTGGTGTAGCTTTATTTTAAAATATACTGATAAGCATAAATAAACAAAATAATGTAGATCCTCGTACAATTATTTGTCCATTTTTGTGACCACACTACGTGAGATTTTAGGAAGGTCATCAGTACTGATTGAAGATATGAAAGTAATCAAGAAGAATATAAATGCGAAGGAAACAAATAGGTAGAGAGTGTTCATGTTCACGCTCGAGATAAAGTCAAAACTAATTTTCTGCTCTAAGTATCTCCATTAACGCTAATCACTAACCCAAGTGATGTCAGTGGAGTTGTAATGTGTCAGTAGATATTAACCCAACTTAACTGTCCCTAATTTTGTAGCTATTTATCGTATATTGGTCTTCTCTTCGCTTTTTCTACCGAGGTTATGCGTTGTCAAGCATAACGTACATAAAATGTGTCCGATCTCCCAAAAGCGTTGTTTAAAAATGGTATTTCTCATTGAATTGCGATCGGTACTATGATGAGTGGTGAAGGACCAATCAATTCACCTATTTCATTCACCAAATTCTTCTACTCCATGCGAGCCAGTTTCATAACCTGCACTGAATGATTGGACCAAATACTTTAGCTTGTGTATAACAATTGCCACTTATAAATCTTTTTTAAAAGAATAAATAAATGTATTCCAGATTGGTGAAGTAGTTTCAGTTTTTCTCACCTTGTAGTTGTGAGATTCATCCTCGTTTTAGATTAGTGCTTTGGTGTTTTAGTGATTGTAGTTCTCAGAACCCCGCTTCGTTAGGTGACTTGATGTTCACTGATGATGAAACAAGACAACATGGTCGAAAAGGTAGGAAAAATGGTTCAACTAAATTATATTTTGAAGTATTAAGCTCACAATAATTGATTTTAAATGTAAACAAACTTACAACCAGCACCTAAGATGATATCTCTGATATCTAAACTTGTTGTCGATGATCCTGACAAACTGAAATCATTCGTTACAAGTGTCTGATGCAGCTGCAGTTTCCATCTTGGCAATGCGTTTAAATCACCTAGTTTTACATACTACAAATGGCTTTTATGAACTATTTCCCTTAATGAACCTACACATATTTTCAATGTGTTTATTAAGTACTTTGGTTCTTATAAGTTTTCTAATGGATTGGTAACTAATTTTCATTCTTGCTCAGTTTGATATCCGATGCAGTCAAATTTCTGTCAGTTGATGACTTTCTGCAAAGTACATATTAAGGGTACCTTTGAAATCGACAGAAAGCGAATTAGCAGTTTTTCCCTAAAGTTTTAAATACAAATCATAAAGATTGTGCTGGCCTTATGCTTTTTGTAACGAATTAATAAATTGGGTTTTGAACTTTCATGAGCTAAAATCCCTGTCTTCCTATGCCTTAATACATCAGTTGATGTAAGATTAAATAAGAAAAATACTAAGGATATTTAAATTAAAATAGGTTATCAGTTTGTTAAACCACCGATTTTTGGTATGATTCACATACATCCTATTCATGATATAAATATTGTCTCTGAAATGTTCACAGGCTCTGGGTGAAATATCTTAAAATAGACAGACGATCATAGTACCGATATAGTCGTTATCTTCATGTAGTTCTTGAACATTTTATTACTTTACATATTCATATGTACACTATCCACTCTTATCTTTCTTATGCATGCTAATACCTTTATCCTTTGCAATACACATCACTTTTAACCAGTTCACTAATATCTTATATTCTGATTGTCTGTGTATATATCGCTCATTCGAAAATCAATTTTCTCACTAACGTAATTCCATTGGAACTTATTCAGTATGGTACTTATTGAATATAAGTTTATTAGCTACTTTTATCATTGATATTTTTAGATGTTTTCAAATAGTGTTTTACAAAACCTAATGATTTTTCAGGTCCAGCACTTTTCATATTTAAATGTAAACATCCTAAAAGACTGGTTTCCTGCGTTGAAAAACGAATAAATTCTCTCTTGCATCTTTATCGAAATATGACGTCTGTCATAAAATATCTGCATCCAATACGAGAATCGTGTATAGATCGCGTAAGTTTTTACCATTACTATTTCTTTGTTTGTCTTCGTAGATTAATTGATAATCATTACTTAAAAGTGACTGTTATCCTGTACTAAAATTACTTCACTGACTGTCAGCTTCATATGTATTTTCTTCAGAGACGAAGAAGTTATAAACAAAAAACTGTTGTGCGATAAACGGGATTGGCATGATTTGTTAGGAAAAAAGTTATCAATGGTCAGCTGTCATGTGATTAAATGTTACTTAACAGATATTTTTGTGTTTTCCTCAGACACATGGTTGGAATAGTAAACACATTTTAGGTTCATAGCTTTCTTTACAGAATTGTGGGTCTTATTTCGCAATCACTTAGTCCTTCCTGTGCTTTTATTTCCTAAATACCTTTTTATAAATTTTAATTACATTTCTTAAAGACATTAAAATGTATTCGTAAGTAGTGCTGTAAACACAACGGCATCTTTAGAGTCGTATGTCATTTTTCGGTGTTCTGAAACTTGTAAAATGTGTTCCGTCCTGTTTATAATTGCTTAGAAGTTAATCGTCACTAATGACAAACATTGGTGACTTATGTCTATACCGAAGGTAACCAAACTTTTTAATTAAAGACCCTTGTACTGCTATACTGCATCTAAAAATGGAATATATAAAATTCCCAAGTTTTAAAAAATTAAAATATATGGAACTTTCGCATTTACCACTGTTAGCAGTATTGCTTTGCCAGTAAGGTAATTGCAAATCTACAGATTTTTTCCCACTAATGTGTTATGATTAGGAATCATTCAGTTTGTTGTGTAACGCATAATACTGATCCTCTCATTTTTGATCAACTCTTATAATTAAAATCAAAATTCCCATGAAAATAGAATTATGATTATCAAAATGTTCTCGACTGTATGTGAAATGAAATAAAAGGAAATATGTAAAGTAGTTCGTCCCAATTTGCTTCTTATATGGTTGTATGTTATATTGATATTTTGATATAACTGAGATAATCATGTGGTTAAAATTAACACTTGACTTCCGCAATAGTAATAAATATACAATGTGAATGGCTCGGATGTATTTTAACTTAGTTACAAGCTAACTAGCATAATAGATGAATTTCGGAATACAATTTGTTAAAATGCAATGTATTCAAGGTCCAGTTTACAAGTGTAGTAGCTGTATGTACCTCACATTGTCTTAACAATCCTCCCAATTGGTGTCGACTACTGACGAAAACAGTTAATCATCTCCAATAACCAACCAAAACATTATATATATAATTTATTTGTATAGCTTAACCACTTGTTCTGTTTTTTTAGAAAACAAGATCAGAACTCAAAATAAGATCAATTGGTTTTTCCAAGTCATTAGACAAAGAAAATGCAGGTATATTATACATGTAATCTAACTTACTATCATTGATACTATTACTATTTCGATTGTTTTGCATTTCATATTGTTAATTTCATCTCATCTTGCTGATATGGTATAAAAACTTGAACTAATACATATTTTGCCCCTAAATTGTATGCTGATTATGATTGACTATGAAGTACAATACAACACTGAAGCGCCAGTCCAAGTAGATCATATCCTAACAAAAACTGAGAAATTTCAATTCTGAATATCAGTACCATGATAGCACAAACCCTTGCAAATAATAAGTATGTTTATAATTTCGCCTAATTTACGGAGTAAATAAAATTAAGCTATTGGCTATGCATAATTCATTCATTTGGATAAATATAAACTCTGTTTTGAATTTGTAAATATAAATATAATGCACTTAATAATATGTCGACAACTCACTTCTGTTCTGTAAGGTGGTGGTAATATTGTTTTGTAGGCTTATGCTTAATGCACGATGCTTTCTAATTTTTAAATATCGTTTCTTAATAGTATGACAATGTGATAAGTGTATTTTCATATTTTTCTAGTATCAATAATTAGTATCTTGTGTTTAGCTTAAAACTACCTTGTGAAGTTGAAACTCACTAATAATTCATTGTAATATCGAACTATCTATTTTCAAACATTTTTCATTTATGGTTAGAATGTAATGATTAAAATGTAATGTATTAGTCATATTATTCCATAATTACTATTCATAAACTATCTATTCAGTTTGTAACTGCAATCTTTTCAGGCAATCAACTATGGAATCACTGTTTCTGACTCACTCGTCTTTTTATTAGTGCAGAAAGATTTTTGAGATTGTTCAGTCTGTAGTTTTTGTCACATTCGGAACTGACATACATTTGCTCAGAAACACCCTATGGCCTAGTACCCCTGTTCACTACCTTTGGACTGCTAAGTTAATACCTCATGTTTCATCTGAATTTCATTTAATATCGTGATATTGATATGAACAAACCGAGAATATATGATTACTAATTATTTTACTATTATTTCTTTATCAAATAGAGTACATGATCCAGATATATACTTTTATTAATTCGGGACTACTTGTTATAAACATCCTGCATAAATGAGTTTCAATCGTTTAAATATATATGATGTAGGAGCGACTTAAAGTGTAAATTTACGTGACTTATTAAAATACGGATAAGTAACTTAGTAGCCACTGTTCAAAGAGGGGTATTGAAATTAAATGGGATTGATGAATAAACCTTATAAAACAAACGATCTTATGTTTCTTATGATATCCTGACTCATCATACACCAAATTACAATTAAAACGCTTACCAAGTACACAAGAGTTCATGTTGAACCTTTTATCTATATTCTTCGGGTTTTCCTCTACTGTCGCTGCTACCTTGACGTTGTCCGGCTTGCCTATCGTGATGAATTGCTCAGGTTATACTGGCTGGAACATTCGTTCCTCAAGGTCCCACTATGCCAAACAGGTCTGTTAAAGAGCGGTAAGACTAAAAGCAACAATCCCAACACAGATCACTATATTCATAATCGATCTTCCTCTTCAGTTCCTATTATTTCTCATACTTCGACTTTCAACTCTATCCACAAATGTCACCATGGCCAACGATTCTAGTGCACGAAACAATGTCCCAGGTCTACTAAAACAGCGCTCCAAACTACACGATGAAGCCTTCAACGTACACACCCTATGTCAAATCGGTCAGCAGATCTCCTTGACTAAAACCCTGGAATCTCGTACCATTAATGTATGCACTATTAGAATGGATCCGCGTTAACAGATACCTATGTGCTAAACGGCTAAACTGCTCCTTGGGGACTCGGAAAGATAGGGAGACACGTCATTGCATTTTCGTCGTTTCTGCCTACGCTTCCACTGACTGCAGCCCGGGTGAAGTGAAAGATCACCTTTACAGGAAACTTTCCGAAGTTCTTCAAAAACTTGAACACTTAGACATAGTACTCGTAGCAGGTGACTTTAATACCCAGATAGGTAGCTTAAACCAAACAGAAAGACATTTAGGTGGGTATTTTAATATTCCGGCTCAGTGAACAAGTAATGGCAATCGTCTGCTGCAACTGTGCTCAGACAATCGTTTATTTTTAGCAAACACTTATTTTAGGCATAAGGAGAGACATCTTCTAACATGACGACCCCCTACACCAAACCAACGATGGACTCAAATAGACCATATTGCCATCAGTCATCGTTGGAAAAGGTCGATGGAAGATTGTCGCTCATTCTGGAGTACCTGTTTGGACTCCAACCATGCTCAAATACGAGCATGCATCTGCTTGCGCCTCACTGGACACGAAAAACGCACATTAAAAAACCCATTAGAACTGAACTAAGTAGCGAGAAAACCAAAAGTAGGTTCCAGGAACAACTGAGGTCACAATTAGGTAGTTCTGAAAACGAGGCTAACCCGGATGTTGCTTGGGAAGATATGCAATCAGCTGTGGAAACAGCAGTGACATCTATTAGTGACTTAAACCACAGAGTTACAAAGAACCAATGGATTTCCCCAAGGTCTATTGCACTGATGGATTCTCGTAAACTCATCCCATCAGGCTCTGAACACGATGAAGAGCGAAAATAAGTCAGATCCAGGTTAACCAAAAGTCTAAGGAACGACCGTAAGCAGCGGTGGACAACGAAAACAAAAGGGATAAAAAAGGCACAGACTATAGCTAACACCAGACAGCTTTTCAGACTAATAAAAGGAACTGGAAATAAGAAGTCAAGTGTAAAACGATCTTGGAAGAAGACGACACAATTTTCTGTTCTCAGGCCTGATGTTTAGAATGATAGGCGGAACACTAAGGAGTAGTTCAGCTGGCCTTCAGCCATTCTACAACTAACCACCATTCCCAAACAGCCTGAATGAAACATTAAAGTAGGTCCGTCAACTCTAATTGAAGTTTATAAAGCTATAGCTAATCTGAAACGAGGAAGAGCAGCTGGTCCAGATGGATTGTCTTCAGAGGTCTCTAAGTATGTTGGTCCAGTTTTAGCGATTAGGTTGACTAATATTTAGTGAGTGGGGTTAGACGGTAAATCAGTTAATGAGATTGTGAATCTACATCGACTTAGATTGTTGGGCCACGTATTATTCATGCCCAATCACCGATTACGACGGTGCGCAATGCTAACTAGTATTGGAGACCGATGCAAAAAAGTTAGGGGCGGCCAAACCAAAACATGACATCAGTTCATAACGTCACTAACATCTGATCTGAGCCATATTGGTTGATGCAGACTACTTCGTTCGGATCCGCACGACTATCGTAACCAATGGTTGGAAACTGTGGGTGACGACTTAGAATTGATCATAGTCGTGTAAATGTATACATTCTTTGTCTTCCCTTAAAGCATGAGATTAAAATTGCTTTATACCTTTTTTTCTACGAAATAATTTCCTGTATCATATCCTCATATGAAATATTTTTTACTACTATTGAAGTAACTGCTTCTATGAATTTGGTATTCATCTTGTTGTGCTGATGAGGTATGCGAAATTGGACCGATGTATATATGTACCTGGTTCTACGTTGCAACCGACTGACTGACTGCGAATTTTCGTCATGTAAACAGTTAGCATTGGTATTCAAGTTTAATGATCTAATGGTAAAAATTGAATATGTTGTTATAGTTTGACGATATTATTTTGCTATGCGTTTTGAGTGCTGAAAAAGTGTTGATCAATATGTTTTTCTCTGTTTCGTTTTAGAAAAATCTCATTCGATTGAATCTCTCCGGTCTCCATCATCTGTAGTGTTTATTTGCGGTCCAAATGACTATCTTCTACCACGCAATATACCTGAACACAATACGCTTACTTTTGATTCTGTAACGGAAACGCCTGGTTCTCGTGTAGAATTATCAACATTTAGCCAGATACATTTAGACCTACCAAATGGAAACTACCTTGAGGCTGCTTTTGCTCCTAACTTACCATTGATGAGTAATACTCAAGATAACAATAGCTCAGAACATGGAAAATATGTTGTAATTGCTTTATCTCCACATTTCAACAGCCCCTCCATGAATTTTATGATAAACTCTCATTCCCCATTTAGAAAATGTTCAAATAATATTTATTTTCCGGAACCGATGTGATACCTTTTCAAAACTTATATAATACATCGCTTTGTTTAATTACAGTGCTGTATTGCTTTCTTTATGGACCGTCACGTGAAGATAATATATTCTATGATATACATGCTGATGATATGTCACTAGTAAATAATTGTTACTCATTGGTCTAAATGTGCCACTTCCAACCGTTGGACTACAGTTTCAAAATATGCTCCCATTCTGTCTGAGTAATATTGCTAACCCATACATAATGAATGTGGCCAAATGAATACCACACAATCATTTCGTATTGTTATCGAGTCATTAATTTTATGTCAATAGGGATTAAAGTTGTGATTTCCCATAGTTAATGCTGAGAAAACCCTATTACTGAATATTGTATCATAAATTTGTTTATCAGAAGAGCAGAAATGTCTCTCGATATGTACTTATGGCTTTGTTACTTGGTTACACTAGTTAACTCAAATTTTACAGATCCTTGTTACATATAAACCCAACGAGATATTCAGGTGCAAACCAAATACCTCTAATATGCTTCATAATTTTAGAACGTTTTCATCTAAATTTAAAGCCCATGCCAAGTTTATATGTATTTATTTTTTTGCTGAACCCAAATAAAATCCAAACCTGCCTGTAACTATCCTAGAGTTACCGCCGGTCGCAAGCTCACACAAAGGAAGAGAGTTGGGCAATGGGGTCGGCAACCTCATCCTGTAGAAAACAACCTTGCTAAAAAAACACTAACCAGATTAAACAAATTAAACCATTTAAACTCTGTTCTACGAGTTGAAGAAAGAATTATGACGCTTCATAATGAAAGCTGAGAGTCTTCGGAAGTCACGAGGTCGTTACCACTTCTCATAACCAGAGCAACCATTATTGTAGGTACATGAAAAAACAGAACAATGTGGGAGACCGAAAGGACCAGTCAAATAGCTACAGAAATGAAGAAGTACACCTTGGCATTGCTCAGAATTAGCGAAACCCATTGGACCCAAGTTGGGGACAGCAAAGGTTAGATACGAGAGATTCTGCTGTACTCCGGTCGCGAAGAGGAAAATGCTCCACAGACTCACGGGGTTGGTCTGATGTCCAAAAATGTACGAAATGCACTTATTGGGTCGGAATCTCATAGATTCAGGATCCTTCAAAACCAAGAAGGAGGGAATTACAATTAATATTATCCGGTGTTATGCACCTACCGATGATAGCAACGACGACACTAAAGATCAGTTTTACGAGAGGTTGCCAAGATGAAACTGAAGCTAAAGAAGCACTGGACAACTAGAGAAACAGTATTACAAATGTTTAATACAGCCTTCCTTCGACATACTGGCAAACTCATCGAATTCAAGATAATTCTCAACAACTGGTTACAAGATCTACTGAAAGAAGAAGAAACTACTATGGAGGACAACTGGAAAGGGATCAAAGAAGCACTAATTTCAATGTGTCAGGAGGTTCTAGGCCTCAAGAACCATCATCATTAGGAATAGATGTCTGTGGAAATACTGCATACGATTGAAGAAAGGAAAACATGCAGACAGTAATCAGGAACAGTCGAACAAAGCAGAAAAAGACAAGTCTTTTGGAACTGCTGGAACTAGGAAAGAATGAAGCTGTCGTATACTGTTTCAAAACTTCCGTTAGAATTATCACTGCTTTCACTCCGTAACAATACCATACAATTCATTCTCCTTCGCTCTCTTTGTTTTTGGTTTATCTGCATGTTAGTGCACGTTAAATGTATCTCGTTCCCAATGTATTTCATGTTAGACTTCTAATATTGCTTTGTTGTCTTATTTGCCACACAACTATCTAGCCTAAGTATATCACGCTAAATTCATTCTGGAAGTATAATCACTACAGTCATTTGCATTTCTTAGACCTATGTGACATTGGTTTAACTTGAATTCATATTAATAAGAAGAGAATACAAATATGGATTCTTTTAAATTACTAGACATTTCAATGAGTAATGAACCATATGATTGATCTAAAAACGGTCTCCAGTTGTGCGTGGTAGTCGTTATTGGTGAATAATTCGGTGTGTCAAGGATCTGGTCGTACAACAATGCAGCACTGATATGTAGATTAAAGTTTTCATTTTTCGTAAAACTGCAGGGAAAAATTGGTCGGAGAAACCACACTTTTAGTGGGTCATCATCAACGCAGTACCTGAGATATCAAAGAAATAAAGTTGTTGATGACTAAAAGATGGAATAAATTCCAAGGTACCTAAGCTCACTCTGTATAGCAGTAAACACAAACGGGTATTGCTCCAAAAGATGAGAGATATGTTTGTTGGTCATAAAGCCTGCCACCATTTATTAGAAACATTTTTCATCAGCATGTGCATCAAGCAAATCAAGAGTAGGAAAGCAGCGGGATCAAGTGACATAGCACCTGAAGTACTGAACTCAGACACAGGGGTAAGTGCAAACATGCTTTACTTTCTAATCAAGAAGACTTTGGAGGAAGAATAAATGCCGATGGACTGGAAAGAAGAATACCACGTATATCATGGTATCAAAGAAAGGAGGTCTGAGCAAATGTTAGAACTACAGAGGAATCACACTACCATCGGTACCAGGACGAGTTCCCAACAGAGCATTACTGAAGCGGATGAGAGTTTTAGAAGACTCCCAACGTCGATATCGACAGGGCGGATTACGAAATGATCGATCATATATAGACTAAATTACGACAATACGGATGAATGTTGGGTAATCAAATGAGTGGAATTTGTCATTATACATCAGCTTCCTTGACTATGAGAAAGCGTTTGATAGTGTGGATAGGAGAATTTTATGGGCCCTTATATGAGAAGATCGTCAACACCATGCTGAATTCATACGACCGACTACAGTGCAAAGTGGTGCATGGAGGACATCTGACAGATGCATTGCAAGTGAAGACTAGTGTCTGTCAAGACTGTCTACTCTCTTCCTTTCTCTTCTGGTGGTCGATTAAATTATGAAGACCTCAACATTTCAGGCGAAGCACGGATTAAAATGGAAAGGTTGGATGAAACTATACGATTTGGACTTCGCAGACGAGCCAGATCTTCTATCCCATACATTCTAGTAAATGCAGCTGAAGACATTTAGTGTAGCAGCTGCTTCTGCAGCAGTAGACCTGAATATACACAAGGTAAAATGCAAGATCCTCATATACAACACTGAGAACATCAACACAATCACATTTGACGGATAAGCTCTGGAAGATGTGGAAACTTTCACATACCTGGAAAGCAGTATCATCGATGAACAAGGAGGATCTGATGAAGACGTAAAGGCGAGGATTGACGAAGCAGGGAAAGCATTCCTACAACTGGAGAACATATGGAACTCAAAACAACTGTCAATTAGTGTCAAAGTCAGATTTTTTGATACGAACGCCAAGACAGTTCTACTGTACGGAACTGAAACCTGGAGAACTACTACAACCATCAAAAAATACAAGTATTTATAAAGTTGTTTACGCAGGATACTGAATATCCTTTGGACAGATACCATCAGCAACAGCCTACTGTAGAAGAAAATAAACCAGCTTCCGACTGAGGAGGAAAAGACATTAGAAGTGGATGGGACATACATTACGTAAATCACTAAACTGCATCACGAGGTAAGCGCCAGCTTGGTGCATGCTCCTCCACGAGGGGTAACAGGCTCAAGTAAGTAAAATATCATACAACTGGACCCGAAAAATAGAATCCTCCACAGAACAAATAAATGTACATGATTAATGTAGAACAATTCATTCGAAAAATAATATAATCAATAAATATCTTTTTCATTAAAGGGGTTTTTTAATTTTTATAAAGATTAAAAAAGGTTCATAGTCGGATCCCCATTGGCTTTTCTTCTGATACATATCTAATGTCTCAATACACTGAGTTGTGACATCTCCGAAACCTAAACTAGGATTTCGCGATTGGTCAACAGGTGGTAATCGTATACTGTTTTCTTTCATACCCCGATACTATGCCATAAGCTGAACACCTCTCCACATTTTTAAACCAGCCGCAAATTTGGCAGTTCATGCTTAGTGTGGAATTTGCTGGCACGACATTCGTTAAGTATACCTAAACTATTGAAGCAATTTTTTCAAGATGATGACACCAAATAAGTTATCATCACTGCTCCCAAGCACACATTGCCAAAACTCAGCCACTGGATGTCAACATTTCTTCGATGTTCGAACACAGTCGTCTGACATATCCCTGAGAGGTCAGGTTTTGTATCCGTATATAGAAGTGCTCTCACCAGTGCATCGTAGACCTGAGATTTTACACCCAAATTACTATCATATCAGTTCCAAAATAGCCCAGGCTGGCATAATCCGTCTTGACATAAGCACACACAACTATCCAGGTACACAACATTTCTGACTACTTGTAATGGCACACCACAAAGAAGAGGTACAGGCATAAGCTCCCGGACGCTTCGCACTAGAGAGAAGTGACCGTATGCTCTTATTTTGCTCGGAGTTATTTTCTATAGACCCTTCGAAATTGAAAAATTTTCAGGCACACTCATTCGACAGACAATGCCAGAGCACACTCATGCCTAATGATTTGAAGATGTCTCTAATATCATTAGACAACGATTGTTGATCAGGAATGAATGAGACTTTCTCCAACATTTGTTAGGGGGTAGAAGTGTGATTAATACATCCACGACCCGATTGAAAAATAGTTTGCTCCTCCTTAGTCTTTCGCGGGTTTTGTGCAATAGTGAGGATGCAATCGACTACAGATACCGTCCTGTAATTGTTTGATTGATGACATAGACCCTTCTCAAAGATGGAGACGAAAGTCACTCTCAAAGGTGTTGGAACAAATTACTTCCCAGATCTTTTCAAACAACTCAGTCAGTTCGCTGACCAGAAGTTCTCAAAAAACTTTCCCAATAGTCAGATGGCGAACAAATTTTCGGTAATTCCCTGGAGTTTTGGAAACGAGTCTCAGATTTTTATACAAACATGTCAAGACTTTCCAAAGCCACAGCCGAAATTGTCTGTCTTCTGATCTTCATCAGCGTGTGAACGTATCATGAGTCATATTCCGTGTAGGCATTCATAGATTCAACCAGTCAGCGGCTTGAGATGGTTTAGACACGACAGAGCTGTTGAGCGAGTTTAAAAATAAAAGTAGACATAAAACGGAATAGAGATATAAGGTAGAATAAAATAACTTTGGTTGTATTATGTATCTATAAATATCGCTTGCTTGGATAAAAATCGAGAGGCAGATTATTTTCTTTATTGATAATCATATATGTATGAACTGGGGTACTACCCAAGCACTCAAATCAAAGGTCTAATGTATGCGCCATTTATATTACGGTTTAATCCTCAAGATATTGTATCGATGTCAGGAGATGAAGTTACTTGGTAGCCAGGGAACCGTATAAGATCGATAACTCTTCAGATCCGGTTTAGTTTGCTCAATTGTTTACACAAATGTGATGTATTTAACGTAAGTGATTGCAACTAGAGTTATTACTCTTGAAACACAGAATCAATTCATAGAATATGAGGCTTCATTACAAGTACCGCCACAAAGCTTGATGGGTAATATTTTTTTAAAAATAGCTGGAATCAAGTGTCTAAGCACTTCAGTGATATTATTGCTAAACAGAGTTTAATAAATTCAAGTAAGTCCATTGTTTATGTTCTTAAAAATCACTTACACCATTTCGTCTTCAGTTACAATTAGTTTATTTTTACGTTATTCACCAATGTTATTATTGGTATTTTCATTAGTTTGATTTCTATTTAGGTCGGCGATTGAAATAATATCAATCTCCAGCAGTGTGTGAATATGTTTGATAACATTGTTCATACAACAATCTTGTGATAGAAATGCTCAGTTTTGACGTTTGTCTTAATCATTTTTGAGTAATTTTTATTTTAGTTTCAAGAGTTATGTCGAACTTGCTGTCTTTTTTCTATTTATCGGTATTTGTGTGCTTATTCGTTAAATCACTTAACTTTCAACCTGTAGACTACAGGTTCGAATCCCGTTTCACTTACTTTGGTATGGATTCTCAGAGAATATTATTGTGGTGTATGTTACTAATGTCGACATACATAAGTAGTATGTAACACCAATCGGAAGTGGTAAACCTGGCAGCAGAAGGCTATGAATGTCGACTTGGAGAGAACAGAAACAGAAATGGAAAGGAATTGTGATTTGGAAGAATCATATAAGATATGAAGGACAAATGCTGGAATTCCGTAAATGAATTATTCAATGTACGGTTCTCATATTTTATTAAGATATTCTGTAATTATTGTATGAAGTAATAAATTGGTTATCTCCACCTAGTTCAATTTCACTACAGTATCTCTAGGCGTTACACAAAACAACTTGTGTATGACCAAAACCTGACTACCTGCACATGGCGAATGAATTAAATTTTCTATCCATTTAAATTCCCTACAATAACAGTTGACCTGTTGGGAGAGTAAAATGTACGATTAGAGCATTTGCATACTTATTATTCATATAAACCATTACAGTTTAGAAACAACTAAATTATAAGTGTTGCATTAATACATACTAAAATAAAATGAACGTATTTGAATAATTTTAATAATTGAATTCACGGGTCAATTAAAGCTAGACCACCATGGAAAACATGGAAGGACTAGGCGGCCGTTTCGTCCTAGTATAGGACTCTTCAGCAATGAGCACACACGATTCCGAACTCGGGATTCGAACCCAAGACTCAGTGTTTTAGAGGTTAAGAGTTTGCGCGCGAGACCGAAATTCTTGGGCTCGGATCCCGTAAGCTGGATCGTGGATGCGCACTGCTAAGTAATCCCATACTAGGAAAAAACGGCTATCCAGTACTTCCAGGTTTTACTTGGTAATCTATCTGTAATCGACTCATGAATTCAACTATTTAAGTTAATACAATCTCCACGAAACCCCTCTCTGATAATATTTGAATAGCTAAATAATAATAAGATAATAGAAACACTTCCAGTAAGTGAGATCATGAGTCAACTGAAGCTAGACCACCATGGGGAACATGGAAGCACTTGACGACCGTTTCGCCCTAATCCCTGACTCCTCAACAGTGCGCATCCGGAATCCTACCCCTGAGAGGTTCGAACCCAGGACCTATCAGTCTCGAGCGCCAGCGCTTAACCACTAGACCACTGAGCTGGCCGGCATCCAATGGTGCTAATGTCTAACTTTAACTAATCCACGAAATTGAGCAACACATCCACCATTGTCATCAGTGAGTTACTATCTCACAACTGACCCAGTTGAAACTATTTTATTTTATTTTTTTGGAAAAAAATAACATTTATACCACAATTCTTTTTCTGTTTTTTAGCCCCATCTGATTTATCATTAATAGAATGATTATTATTTCATAATATACAGTTTTAATTGATTCATCTTATTTATGTCTAATTGACATGATAATTTCTCTGATTGTTTTAGACTAAATAAACATAATAAAAAGTTCATGTTTTATACTCTATAGAGAGTATTGGTTTCATATTCATATTGATTTCATTAATTTTATTAATTTGTTGATTAATTTGATCATTTTGATTTAATAATCCATTCACTTCTATTTCTTGTTTTGCTTGCTGTTTCAATTCCCAATAATTACGTTGACGTAAAATTCTTGCCCACAATGCTAAAAGCTGTCAAAATAATCATGTAATTAGTTTAATTAAAATATATAAATGGATAATTTTAAGAAAAAATAAATAAAAGATAGGTTGATATTAGACATTAACACAATTGGATGCCGGCCAGCTCAGTGGTCTAAAGGTTAAGCGTTCGCGTGTGAGACTTGTTGTGACTTTATGTACGGCTTTTTATCACGTGATTTATCAACCAATCAAAATACGACTTATACAATATTAGCACTGTGCCAAATCAATGACGTTCGACCAGTATGAGCAGCCTAGCGTCCTTATTGGTTCTATGTCCGCCTAGCCCATCCACTTGAGTCCAGAACACCAATACCAGCTTCTAATATGCGAATCGAGTCGAACCGAATCATTTATTTCAGACATACTGAGTTTATATATCAATCAAACAGACCACAACGCACCATAAAATAGGAAATAACATTTGTACACAATAAAGCCAAAAAGTAACTGTGAACGTGGGAGGCAGTAGTCAATAAACTGAACATAACTTAAGAACAGTAAATCGTACAATAAGAAATTATAGATCAAAATGAAGCTTATAATAAGAGGGATATAAATATACATAATCTAATTATTGAATAATTATACCATAAGAATGTATAGATAATATTAGTGAATTAATATGTCTCAGAAGTTACTCGTGATTTAATCTTCTCTCGGATGTAACAATACTGATAGGTCCTGGGTTCGAATCTCACGAGGCATGATCGTGAATGTGCACTGCTGAGAAGTCCCATACTAAGATGAAACGGCCGTTTAGTGCTTATAGGTTTTCCATAGTAGTCTATCTTCACTTGAATAATGAATTCAAGTGTTAAATTAAGACATTAATTCACTATGACATTTTTTTTTCATATTTTCGAGTTTGATTTTGTGTTTTAATGATGAATTTAATTTGTCATCTTTAGTATGCAACTTACCACTTTGTTTTCTCGAATTATATTCTCTTAATATTTTGTCTCTCATTATTATTTCCACTGAAATTATTTCTACGTTTTAAATGCCCATTATGGTAATGCAATTTTATGTTGATGTGGTATAGGCAGCTTGGATCAGTGTGTAACAGTAGCAAGAATCATTACATGTGACGTTACTGACACGAGCCTGTTTTTCTCATTGCAAGGCAACAAAGAGTAAACGTACTGGAAGAAGAGGAACAACCCCTACGTAAGCTGAATCTGCAGAACAATGGATAAAACTATTTTGTTATAAGTTTTCCCTTTTTGTACTAGAACCGCATCTTTCAATTTATATATATATATATATATATATATATATATATATATATATATATATATATATATATATATATATATATATATATATATATTGTGAGTTCTTACTTCAGAGGCATCTACCACTCCTAACTGTTGTGTTGTTGTTTCAGATAGCTCCTGCTAATATTACGTGCTACAAATGTATATTTGTAGTATTACTGTGAGCTGATTGTGACTAATTGATTTTGTCAACCTTTTTTATAACCACAAGTCTTGTTCTCTCAATCGATGATTTAAAGACTAATTTTGCTAGTCCTTTCATAGTCTAATGTTCTCATACACTGAATTTATAAGTAAAACTTGCATCCTTCATTAATGATATTGTTTTATACCTCATCGTTAATAGAGTTTTTAAAATATTTTATATAATAATTTCGATATACGAAGGTATTTTACAACCCTTTCTTCCATCAATATGCTTTGTTAACTCTTTTTCGTTTATTGTGTATCAAGATTGTTATATTGCTTGTATGTCATTTAGTCAGCCATTAACAACGTATAACTTCGTACGTACGTACATCAGTTCAAGTTCCCATACCACATTAGCACAGAGATGCAGTTGTCGATTCAAATCCCATGGTGGTCGAGGTAGTAAATGCATAAGCAGTAATCGGAAAGCCTAGTGGTTGAAAATGTTATTCAAGGAGTATAATCCAGTGAAATAAATCTGGAAAGAGAAAAAAGGAACATGGAGAATTCAGAAGATTCGAAGTTAAGAGAACAAAATGAGTGGATGCACTTGCACTATCGCAAACGATTTTCAGCCATATCATTCAAGGTCTCTAATCATCGGTCGCTATCGTCTTGCGGATCCCAACCAGGTAGTCTACACCTAACAACATGGTTCAGTCCACTTGTCAGTGACTTCATGGACTTGTGCCATGTTTTGGTCTGGGCGCCCCTAGCTTTCTCCCAACCTACTCCTACACCATTGAACATCGCACGTCGGGGCAGTCGGTGATTGGACATACGTAACGCGTGTCCCAGCCATCTCAACTGATGAAGTTCTACCACTTCATCCATTGATTTGCCATCCTTACCTAGTACCCGTTTCCTAACAACTGCATTACTTACTCAGTGGCCCTAGGATACACGAGCAATATTTCGAAGACACCTATGATCGAATGCTGGTAACCTGCGAATATACTCTACTCTTACCGGCAATGTTTCACTGCCATAAATGACGCAAGTTGGCCAAAGCTAGTCGAGCCTTCTGTATCCGTGCTGAGATTTTGTCACACACCAGACCACAAGGGCTGATGAAACTCCCATGATAAGTGAAGTGGTCGACACGCTCAACTACTCCACTCCCTAACATTAGTACGGGTGTCGATGCGACCCAATCCTGAAGCAACATTTTACATTTCGAAGGCGAGAATCGCATCCCGAACATGCTTGTATGCAGCTGGAAGAGGTATTCAAAGTAGAATGCGTTCATCCTACTCTTTGAATTTATTTGAAGTCTAATTTCAACTCGAAATTTTACTTTTAGAAATTATCGATTTTTTAAAGATCAAACCGACAAATCTTAATGATAACTTTCTTACACGATATCTCAGAAAGAGCTATAGTGCAAGCACTTTTGAATGACCACGACTACCTAGTATACCATAGTCTTCAGATTGCTGTGACACACCTACAGTATTATCCCTTATATTAATCAACTTGACAACCGTTAATACCATAAAAAGGTTTCAAATGGTGAGACGAAGTTGTCTCAACAATTTAATTTAGGCACATCTCAAGTTTAACGACTAGTAAGCACACAATGAGAAAGATATATTAATGAATATCATTTAACCAAATATATATTCAAGTTTATACGAGTGAGTCATCAAGTAATAAGTAATTAAAATTTGAGCGAGTATGAGCAATAAATGCGTAGGCTGCCAACTACACATACTCATCTGTACCATCGGGAAGATACATATATATGAAAATATGAGCAAATTATTCAGACTAAAATATTAATTGATGAGCATAATAAATACGAATATATACGACCAGCTTGTGATAAACTCGACAATATCAAGTCATCTAGGTGTATCGTAGTCAGTAAATGCGGTCATGTTTTCATTCATACAGTCATTCAGTTGTAGATATTTCGGGATGATTTCAAGTACAAAATTAATTGGAAGTATGACTATTGCCGTGTTGTGATTTTTCTTCCATCATGACTGAGTGAGCTGAACTTGACACGTCCGTAGCATGATAGAGTGGTATTTTCATCGTAGGGGACTTTACATTTTTCATATAAGCCAGCTAAAATAACAGAACGAAACATGTCCACCATCATGAATTAAGATAGTGTAAATAATAATTTCCATTCCATCTTGGTTGGTTGTCATGTTCAAGTTTAAAATTGTGAACGAAACTGGAGTTTATCCTAACCCGAAATTTCACTCCGAATCGGTGTAACGGGTTCTAGGAATGGGAATACAGAACTTGATGCTGAGTAGTATAAAAGTACGTTATTATATCATTACAATGTTATGCAAACCATATACTCAAAATACAACTGTATTTTTGATTTTAGATTGGACTCAGCTATCTTAATCATAACTGGTAAGTAATCTACTTTATATCATATTATGGTGGTTTGTATAACCATACATTTCTGTAATAAAGAGTGAATTTTGATTTATATTCAATAATATTCGAAGGGTAACAATATGATGTTGTGTTTTATAGTGTAGATTGAACATCCAGCTTTTTTTCCTACTAAATGACTATGTAATATAACTCGGTTTCACTGTTGTATAATAAATTTGTTTCATTGCTTAAAACACAAACTTTCTATTCGAAGTTTATTTATTAACACAGTTATTTTATAATATCTCTACAATAATAATAAGAGATAATTAATATTTTCTTGTTTTGTAAAGTACCATTCAAATAGCCCATGTGTCTACTGAAAACTATGTAAGATTATTTATACAAATATTCGTCAAGATTAGAACGAATAGTTTGACAGAAATTGGGCGCCGAGTATAAAGAAACCATTATATGTGAAAACTTTGATTATTACCCTGAAGAAGTCCAGACAAGTTAGCTGGACGAAATGTTGGAATTATTTAAATTTCAATCGCTGAGATTATTTCAAATATAATTTTCACATATAATGATATGTGAGATTATCTTCTATGGAGGAAATTGTGGAGATTACAATATCCGTAGTTTACTCTACGAATTGACTTTAGATAAAAAAAAAAAACTCTCAAAACCAAGGAACTTTGGACAGCTGTTTTGTCTTAGCACGAGACTCGTCAACATCTCGCTAGAAGCTGAACCCAAGACCCTTAGACCTCGTGATGATCTTTTACTCCTCAGACCACTGATCCAGCAGCTAGTGGTTTACATTTATAACTTCAGTCAATTAGCAGTCTTAGGCAACCATCTCCCATTGCCCTTTTGTGATATCTGTCTCACGACCGTCGTAGTTAAACTCTCTATTGGTTACAGCTTCTTACTGAACTCCGGCAATTACTTTAAAGTTAGTTAGATGATTATCGTAAGTATAGAAGTGTGTGGAGATTGTTGAATACGTAGTTTACATTAGTGATGTGGAGGTACTGTGAACAAGCACCGCTAAAATTAGTTTATTGGGTTTTCTGAGTAGATATCGCTAATCATAACCGATATAGATACATTTGTCAATAAAATTTGGTAGAAACATATCGCTGATAACATTGTGTATATGGAAACATTTACAATACACACATTTTAATCTAATAAACAAATAATCAAATACTATATTGAATTATATCAATTTATAAACATTGATGACACTTTTTCGAATCAATAATGATACATAACAATGATCACCCAAATACATACTACTTTTAGGTCGAAGTATGGATACATTATTCATACTATGCCCATGCATATATTGTTTAAAATAATTTTTGTGTTTCAAGTAAACAGTTAATCTGATAAATGGATTATGCTTGTATGTATGTGTACATTCTGCAAGCATAGACTTACAATTTTGTATGGAATCAAACTACATATTTCACTTCTTCAATTGTTTGAAATTTTGATTTAATAGGCTGGTAAATTCGTTGAATATTTGTACTAAAGATTAGAATTATCATTGTTACAACTAATGATATTTATGGGTTACTCAATAATTTAGTCCGTTTTACAGCTTAAATTAATTATTAATCCCATTGAAAGGTACCTTATTATTTGTTAGGTAATATGGTACTTGTAATATTTCACTGATTGAAATCGTGAGTGAATTGAAGCTAGACCACCATGAAAAACCTGGAAGCAATGGACACCGTACACCATTGTCCTCAGTGAGTTCCTATCTCACAACAGACCTGGTTGAACTCCACTGATAACGACTTCTTACTAGAACTCCGGGAGTATCTCCTGAAGTCAGTCACTAGTGAGCAAGTGATTATCATTATCAGAATAGGTTTTGTGGGGATTTTTAGGAATTTCACTGGTTGAAATCATGAGTGAATTGAAGCTAGACCACCATGGAAAGCCTGGAAGCACTGGATGGCCGTTTCGTCCTAGTATGGGACTCCTCAGCAGTGCGCATTCACAATCCCCCCCTCCGCGAGATTCGAACCCAGGACCTATCAGTCTCGCTCCAGGCGCTTAACCAACTAGACCACTGAGCCGGCATCCAACTTGGTAATGTCTAACTTCAACCAATCCACGAAGTTGCGTCACCGTACACCATTGTCTTCAGTGAGTTCCTATCTCACAACAGACCTGGTTGAACTCCACTGGTAATAACTTTTCACTTGTAATATTATATGAATACTGTCGATTCAACGAATAGAGAGATATAGTTTGTATATGCACATGACTGAAAAAAGACCCAGTGATTTCCGTAATGATGTAGTCGACTGGTTAATCTTTGTGAACCTATTAAGTATTATATCATTAACTATATAATGTAATTACATGTCTTATGAATATGTGTGATTTTGTATCGCAATAAATTGTCACTTCCTTATAAATAGATCATTTAAAATAAACTAACTGAATATATTTATTTTCTGATAGCGAGATAAGAGTGTACTGTATAAAAAGGACCCATATTATTACTTATTATTGATATTTGCAGTTTTAAATTAATCAACTATCAGTTTAGTTATTAAAGAATGAAATTTGCTTGTTAAAATCGATTATATGTTCAATAACTCTTCATATTATTGATAAAATGATAATATCAGAATGGGTTTTGTGGAGATTTTGGAAAGTTCACTGATTGAAATCATGAGTCAATTGAAGCTAGACCACCATGGGAAACCTGGAAGCACTGGACGGCCGTTTCGTCCTAGCATGAGACTCCTCAGCAATGAAGTTAGACATTAAAACCGTTGGATACCAGCCAGCTCAGTGGTCTAGTTGGTTAAGCGCCTGGAGCGAGAGTGATAGGTCCTGGGTTCGAATCTCGCGGAGGGGGAGATTGTGAATGCGCACTGCTGAGGAGTCTCGTAGTGGGACGAAACGGCCGTCCAGTGCTTCCAGGCTTTCCATGGTGGTCTAGCTTCAATTCACTCATGATTTCAATCAGTGAAAGTGATAATAATAAATAATCATAGTAACTAAGGTATTACATCACATTACTGATACTCACTTGTTCTGCATTGAATAATTGATTTTGATCTAATACGGAATTTGTTACAGCTAAGTAAAATAATGATAACAATTTGCTTTGTTCTTCTTGCATTTTAATATATTGATCAGATAATTTTATATTAAGAGAGAGTTTCTCACTTAAATCCTCCTGATATGATTGATATGATAATAATCAAATAGAAGAGAAGTTTTTTTTATTATTCAGTTTAATTTCTTTTTTTTTTTTTTGGTAAACGGAAGAAAACATTTCAAATTAATGAATAAGTAAGAAAAAAAACAGTCTTCCAACTTTTCATGAAGATGGATCTTCCACTATAAATCAGTGTTATCGAGTAAACTATAGCACTTAAAGTTTATAAATGTTTCGTGTTTTTCTTTATATACATGATTAAATTAAGGGTTTAGTTAATAACTTTTGAATTATGGTTGGAGTAGAAATAAAGTAAACGTAAACTCACTGAGTTTTATTAAGGAATATTATTAGTTGTTCAAAAAATTTAAACGGTTTACTATTGCACCAACTTGACTTGATGCAAGAAAGTTCTAGATCATTTGAATAAGTGATTTTTGGTTAATTGTAGATGCTGACCTCAAAGGATCGTTCGAATGTTGTGGAACAATGGAGTAGACAATATTGAAGTCAAACGTATGATATTTAAAGAAATTAAGAAGTCAATTACTGGGGCTCTGAATCGTTATTGTATTAAGTGTCTGGAGCATGTCTGACGTACGTTTAACCACACCCTACTTCTATGAGCAATACTTTTCGGAGCAGAACTGAAGTTGAAAGAGGATGGTTAAACCATCAGTCCATGAAATCATAGACTGTTGAGCTGCCCCTTGTCGGTATATCAAGGTATTTGTACTTTTCGTAATTTGTAATGTTCGAATTTCATTTAACGCCTTAAATTCAAGTTCTTGAATTTGTTTGGCCCGTCCTTATACTGTACTTTTATCAATAAACCAAGGTGGTACTTTAAACATTCACTACTTTGACTTAGTCTTGTTTCGGCGAAGTCTGTTTTATATTGAACATCATTTGTTATAAGTGTGACTGTTATCACATCTGTTATTATTGTGATCATAATGAAGATGATTGAATAAGTTATTAAAAACATACGAAGTGTACGGTCCAGATTTGTTAGACACAATTACACATTAATTTAGTATATTAGAAATATATTAAAATACAGTTCTTAATTTACTATATTAGTCGCCTTAACGGCTTTCCATCTATACCACTGAATAATTCGACCAGAGAAAATATGTATACAATTTTCCTACTAAATCAACTCTAATCCAATATATAAAAGTTTTATATTTTTAAATAAGTGTAACCCTCACTTTTGTTTATTCTATTTAAAACACATAAATTCTGTTACAAACTTCCACATTTAAAATGCCCTTCACAAATCAAGACAAAATATCGTGTTCCTGCTGTCTTGAGTATGCTAAAACAGCTTCCGGCAGTTATTAGACGTACTTACTGCCGCCAAGGTGTCAACACACTACAACCACGATGTATCCCAGTCCTTACGTAAGGTTTATGAAATATCGTGAGCCAAGTACCTACGTCCATCATCAGACTCGAGTTTAACTAAAGCAGACTGACATGACCCAGGGAGTTTTAGAGAGCCTGAATTAATCCAAAGGTTATACTTGGGGTTTTTCTAAGGCACAAGCAACTTGCCATTTCTATGGCATCATGCAGATATACTCAGTGCTCGTCTAGAATTCTCAGTAAACTGATAGCTACCACCAAACCTAACCCGGTTTACTATTTGGACGTGACAGTAGGTATGGTCGGTTTGCTCATATTAACCCACTTAGAACAATAAGTTTGCTCACCCTCAAAGACCAAGATAATTTTGGCTCATACTAGGGTGTACCTGGAGTTAATATGGGTACTCCAAACGGAGCGGTAGTCTTGTACGCAATCACCTCACTGGTAGCTGGTTTCAATGTAATCAATACAAGTCCAAATTTAAGTTGTGGAGCGAAAAAACCAGGTGGCACATAGGTAATAGCTGTGTCGGAAGCTGTACAGAAAAAGGATACGGTCTCTAAATAGTTACAAGACAGAATCACCGCTATCTGATCGACGAACTGGCGTTGACCATCCGAGCTGCTGTCCTCAATGCCTAGATGCTCATCCTGGGCTTCCAACTTCTTACGTAACGATACAAAATCTATTGTACGTGCTTTCTTTAATTGGTGGCATTTTCATAAAAAACTCTACAGGTATACATCCGAAATTATAATTATAATTATAACCGAAAAATTACTAAAGCTGAACTAATCCATGTTATAAACTAAAAATGACAAGTTTATAGTCCATTTTGTTTGAGAATTAGACACAGTATTAAAGGCTTATCTGTAATTATTTTATAATGGCTTCATGTAAAAAGCATTACGATAAGTGTTCAAATGAGATAATTATGGGTAAAGCAAATTATACACCTAGTACTATGTGATATATGAAGTGTTTTGAAATCAAAGAATCTTCGATAAGTATTACCTTTAGTTTTTTCAATACTGAATCACGAGTTTTCATTAAGTTAGACAGTTGTAATTCACGTTTGGTTTGAAGTTGATTCATTTCTTCAGTTTGCCTTTTCAAAATGTTTATTTCTGAGACCAATGTTTTGTTTGTTTTAGTAAGATCAGCAATCGTACATCTAAAAATTTGAACAGTATGAGAAAAGTTTAACTAAAGGAACAAAATAATTTAAAACTAAAAGGAAGGGATCGAGTTATCCGCAACTCCCTGTTATAGATTAGTGTAGTGTAGCGTACCCGGGTTTCCCTGGTGAAAAACATAAGTAAAGGTCAACTAACCAATGATCAATGAGTGCGCAAATTTCAGTCATGATATATAGGTCAGGTACCTCAGTGGTAACGGACTTAACTCCAACATTACTTGTACAGAAGCAAATCCCGAGGAGGAGTATCGGTTTCATGATTATTTAAAACACACCTTCCTTACGAATGTCAGCTGACACAAAACCATAAGTTTAGAGTATTTTGTAGTGTGCTTCCGATTGAATATCATAAAAAATGGACTCACAAAATATATTTAAACTCAAAAAAGACTTATAACTTATGAAACAGAATAATAATAAATTCACCTCAACTGACTTAATTTTGTAGTTCCTCGTAGTTTCACTTTCATTAGTGCTAATAATGATAGTCTAAGTTTATTTTGTTTCTCCTGTAGAAAATTCTTCTCATTCGTCATTCCTTCTAATCTTGTTTTTAATTCACTGAATTTTGTTTTAGATTTCAGTAGAGAATCATCTAGTGTTTGAACTTTATTACACATTGTAGAATATTCTTGATTCCATTCATTTTCAAACTTGTTGGATACGAATTAAAAAATAATAAGAAAAATTGTATGATTGATTACTATGTTTTTTAAAAGAAAAACGGTTAATCGAAACCAAAATTCAGCTTTGGTCTTTTTTGGTGGGGGGAGGTACTGATCGCTTAAGTCACTTCATATAGGAAGAACCTCTTAGAGATAGTAAATGGATTATTAAATTTATTTACAGTTTCAAATGCTTATATAATTATTGTTCTTCATACTGCACCAAACAAAAGACCCAATAACATTAGGCAATAATACATAGAAAAACACTAAAGTAGATAGGATGGTTACATTTTTTAAACTTTGTTTGCCTACATGCGAAGTAGGATTAAAATCTTACAATCGACCTTACTCCACATTAATCTATTGAAATAGTTGTAGACATGAGTTGGACTTCGAAAATACATAGACTATATATAGATGAAATGCTTAGTATAGTCTAACATTGCACATGACACACTGATAAAACCAGAAATATTGGTATAATTATCGATTCAATAATTGATATGGAAAAACAGATCCTTAGTATTAAATGACAGGCTTTTTCTAAACATTACTCGCGTATCATCAAGTGACTAATGATGAAGTTAAGAGTATGGTACTAGATAAATATGGTTCGTCAGTTGGTGAAAATGTAAAACTTTATCATCTGAAATAGTTAGAGTACATATGATACATTTCCAAGTATCCCTTCAAATCAACAAGCAATAGTGGTTAACCTGAGAGTAAATGGGAAAAAACTCATGAATAGATAAACATATTCAGAGTTCACCCAATATTTTGAACCTTTTTTTAAGTTTCTCAACTTAACTTTGAGTTTAACGGTATTCCATGTATTTCATTAGTTTCCATTATATTACCTGCTCTATGTTTGAGAACATTTGAGTCAATCGAGTTTAATTTACATTCATTTGTACAATGATAATTTCTTGATTAATGTATAAACTTAAAAATGTATAAAAGAATCATTTACTTGTTTATATTCATTTTGTATAATATTCAATTGTTCTGAATAATAATTATGATTCAATTGAATAGCTTCTAATTCTGATTTAACATTTTCATAGTTATTTTCTAATTGTTTAGCTGTTGCTTCTAATTCTAAACGTTTTTGATAACCATCTTGTTTAATTCTCTCGAATTCTGTAAGATTATTTTCTAAATCTATCATCAGTTTAGATTTAATTTCACATTCCTGTTGTTTTAATTATATGATATAACATGTATTCAACTATTAGAGATTGATTAACAAGAGAAATGTATTAAAATGTACCAAAAGTAATTTGATTATATGAAATTTAGGACTTGTGAATAAACTGTTTACCTGATTAGGGTAATTTTTCAATTGCATTCAGTTTCAGATTACTAGAATTAAAAACATTACTCAATAGAAGTGTATTGTTAACATTATTACTTAATCATCAATTGATATGAAATATTTATGCAAGAATTTATATCTATTAAAGCCTAATGAATTCCAAAATCAAACAAGATGTATCGGTTTGAACATAATGCTCAGTGATCATCTCTTAGTTTTTCTGAGCTTGTTTGAAAAAAATTCTGACTTTCAACTGACGATTAAGTGACGATTATCAGATAGTTAACAATATAGAAGTAATCATATATGTTTATTCATGAGTTTAGTTTATTGTCTCTGAATAGTAAAAACCATTCACAATCTACAAACAATAGTATTGTGGTGCGTGCTACTTATATTGATATAAGTAGTGTATGACGCGAGTCAGGAATGTAATGTCTGGCGGCAGAAGATGGGGAAAATCAAGAAAGAAAGAGCGGGAATAGAAAGCAATTAGTATGGAAATGCAAGAACAACGAAGTTCGAGATAATTATTGAACATTTTGCAAATTAAGTATTATAGTATGGTTTTTCTATTTTATCAAGCAGCTCTGTAATTTTGTGCTATGTGTAATAGGATTGTCCCCACTGGTGTTCGTGTTCACTACAGTATCAGTATTTCGTGAATAAACTGGGAAACACAAATATCAGCAAGTACTGTACTATAACAGTGATACTCATTAGGATATCCTACTTTCAACGTTGTTTACATAAATTTTTCTAGTTATTTCAGAAGCTATGGAATACACTCAAAGTAACACAGTGAAGTAGATAATTTTGTTTTAATGTATTATTTATTGTACTTTGATAAAAATGAAATACACTTAGCAAATCTGTTGAATTAAAGGAAAAAGATTTATGTTAAATTACAGAAATAGGTGTATATATATTTATTAGTATACAAGTATAATATATTGTATATGGATCAAAGTAATGAATTAAATAAATGGAAATTCATTTGATACTTGTACTGTAACGGAGAGTGATTATACAAACTCTATATTTCGGCTGACAAGAAACACCGTAACGTGTATCCAGGTATTTTTATCCACCTAATGTTAAAGAAGATGAAAATCATACTGTGAACTTCACTAACCCTTACCACCCATTTATTCATTGAAGTCGCATACATAATATTGATCATATTATTTTCAAGTAAAACCGTTATAGATATATAATATACCCTTGTGGGTCAGGGTAATTTTACATTGGTTTTCAGGAGAATCGGAAACTATCCAGACTTTCACGTGACAACCCAAACAGTACAGCTCAATCCCGTTTAACAGGAGAGCTAGATTGTTATAAATGTAGAAGGAACGAATTGAGCGAAGAAATTTCTTTTCAATTAGTTTTTCATCATGGCTCTACACTAATATATATACGTTTTACAATAATAATATAATATTATCAGAATGTGTTTTTTTGTGGAGATTTTTAGAAATTTTCACAGATTGAACTCATGAGTCTAAAAATCTCCACAAAAAAACACATTCTGATAATAACAATCACCTGCTCACTAGTGACTGACTTCAGGAGACACTTCTGGAGTTCTAGTGAGAAGTCGTTACCCGTGGAGTTCAACCAGGTCTGTTGTGAGATAGGAACTCACTGAAGACAATGGTGTACGGTAGCGCAACTTCGTGGATTGGTTGAAGTTAGACATTAACACCGTTCGATGCCGGCTCAGTGGTCTAATGGTCAAGTGCTCGCGCGCGAAGCCAGTAGGTCCTGGGTTCGAATCCCGGGTGGTGCGGGGTCGTGGATGCGCACTGCTGAGGAGTCCTATACTAGGACGAAACGGCCGTCCAGTGCTTCCAGGTTTTCAATGGTGGTCTAGCTTCAACTGACTCATGAGTTCAATCTGTGAAAATAATATAATACTCATCGAGTGGATGCGTTACGTAATAATTACATAATGATATTTAAATTAACATTGATTAATTGGAAGAAAGAGGATTATTAATATTCAAAGTGATCAAGAAGTTGCTACGTTGCGTAATGTAAGAAACAAAGAAGGAACAGAATTTTAACGGATGGTCAATAGGATGGTAGTTACGTAAGAATCAAGAGATGAATGTTGAGAAGTTATTAAGTTCAAAAGCAACAGAAACAAAATTACAAAAGTTAAAAAAAAACAAGTGGAAGAAGTATGAAAAATAGTTCTTTTGAAGGAAATCTTAAACTGATGGTCAGGGCAGAGAAAGTGGTTGTACGAATCTCTTTTGAATGCAAAGGTCAGGTTTCCAAAGTTGTATCGGAAATCTTTACGTCGCTCTTGAGTTCGACCAAATGGAAGGACTCTCAAACGCTACGCCCTTAACCAAATCGATTCTCTAAACTCATACATTGCCGATATGGTAAAAAATATCAACGAGAGAATTTATGCTGTAGATGATCTCCCTGATAAATTAAGAGATTAGTATCTGGACTATGTGGAGATGGTTGTTAACTCAGGAAAGGAAAAGAAAAGAATGAAACTTAAGAAAAATATAGACAAACAGATTCCAGAAATGAAATTTCCATCCAATCCAGGTCAGAACGTACACAATTTCTCTAGTGTTATGCTGGATAAAACTGCGTTAGAAGCGTTATCATTAGGCCCTAAGTTTTGTGACTTCAAGAAAACAGTAAATAAAATGGACGTTGAAATTCAATTCGAAAATCTTTATGCTCAAACGTCAGAACTAGTAACTTCATCAAAAGATAATGTCGAAAGATTTAAATCAGCACTGGTCGACTGTTGTTTTAAATATTTAAATCATAGACACAATACGAAAGGGATTTTGACGAAAAAACATACAGAAGCTTTAAGAAAACTTAAAACTAATGACAATTTATTAATCATGAAACCGGACAAAGGACATGGGATAGTACTCATGGATAAAAATGATTAAATAAACAAAACGAAAGCCCTTTTAAATGATAAAAGTAAATTTCAGAAACTGGCTGCGAAGAACGACATAGCAGATAAGACTGAAAAGCAATTAACAGGTTCACTGAAAGAAATTAAACAACGTCTTATTTCAGAAAAGGTGTTCGAAATGTTGAAACCTACAGGAACGATGACACCAAGGCTGTATGGCCTACCAAAAATACACAAAAGTGGCTTACCCCTTCGATCAGTTTTAGATATGAATAACTCAGCGTATCATACTATAGCGAAATGGTTGGTACAAATTCTTAAACCATTACACAAAGAAATTGTCAAGCATAGTGTCAGGGATTCCTTTGAATTTGTAGAGAACATAAAAAATCTATCAGTCAAGAATAATTTCATGTTATCACTTGATGTATCATCTTTATTCACTATTTGCAATGAACTAACCAGAGAGGCGCATAGAAACCCCGATTCCAGCATCCGCGATAAAACAGTTAATTCTTAGATGCACAATGAGTGTACAATTCAGATTTGACAACAAATACTATAGACAGCTAGATGGAGTTGCCATGCGATCACCATTGGGCCCTCTACTGGCTGATATTTTTCCTTGCAAAACTGGAAAACGGACCACTTAAAAGCATAATTAGCCATTTACCAACTTATTATCGCTATATAGACGACACCTTCATAGTACTCGAAAAAGAAAATGATAAGGACAATTTACCTAATACATTTAATAACGTTCATCCA